AAAAACTGCTCTAACTGCTTCATAAGCAAAGTTTTCAACTGCATGCTCATTATGACAGGTTGGGGGCATCTTTTTTTTTTTTTTTTTAGGAAGCACTTCCTGACAAAAAAGGAAGTGCTCTTTTATTCAACTTCAAATACTGCTTTCTATGTAAGCTTATGCAAAGCTTGGTTTGGTCACTGAAATTCTCTCAAAAAAATCTAGAAAAGGGGTTGGCAAAATTTCAGAAGGGGTCAGCTGAAATAACCCAGTTGAGTCTACAGTAGCTCTTCTGACCAAGCCACTGTGGATGCCACTTCTCCCTGCTGCCTAGCCACCACATAGGCAAAGCTTTTCACCACCAAAATGCTGCAGAAGCCCTGGCATCAAAAGCCAGAAAAATGCACTTCAAGGCTGGATCCAGCTCACAGGCCAAAAGTTGCATCCCCTGATCTCGAATATTTAGGCACATTGTCTTGCCTCATGTGATGTGGCCAAGTACAGTGGTTCATTGACACAAATTCACTATAAGTTGCCCAAATTTGCTTCAGATGTCCGTTAATGGTTTCAGTGGTAACTAACAAATACCAAAAAATAATATGATGTTACAATTCTTAGGCAATGGTGTTCTGTGGTTCTTTTCTTCCTCACAGGGAATGTAAAGTCTCTGTCTTGTTCTGCTAAGGCATGAACAAATAGGAAAGGCTTGCTTTTTCTTTGCCAAACTCAACAGCTATTTCAAAGGCTGCAAAAAACCTGTAGTTTTCCCTCCAATCCATAAGAAAACTTGAGTGTCCGTATTTGTGTGTTTCACAACAATATGAAAAGAATGAGTGTTTCTTTGTCTTCAGCCCTGATCAGTATCTGGTATTTCTGACAAGTTGCATCTCCCACATACAGCACAATGTAATGCACATATTTGCTACTTCAAATGAAGAGTGTATGGCAATTCTGGTGTTGTCTCTTGATAAGACTAGCAAAATGTCATCAACATTGGCATGTAATTCCTTGCTACTACTTTTTAGTGAAGTGACTGTTATCCAGCGCTCTGGAAAGGTCTGCCTTGTTTCAGATAGCACACAGGCAACTTTTCCAGTTTAGTCTTTTCCAGTTTGAGTCTTGATGAATGCAGGTAGCAATAAAGCTTTCTAAAACTATAAAGATGACAACCTTTGTTTGATCTAGACTAGAATTTGACCAGTTTATATTAATTCAAGGGAAAACTATATCTGAAAACAATTTTCTGAAAAAAATCAAGTTCAGATGGTGAACAAGATTTATTGTTGAGATATTTTTATATTGTTATATGTAAAATTACATAAGTCTCAAACATAAGTGTTGACTGGGAGGTACCAAAATGAAATTTTCAAGATTGGTCCAGGATAAAAATTAAGCCAGTAACTTTCATGTTCTTACTGAAAAATGAATGTGTTCATTTATTAAATGTGAGTTTAATGAAAATTACTACTAAATATACTATGCTTCTTTCAATTTGATACTTAACAAAACAAACACACAATTAAGACAAGACCCACAAAAGGATTTAGATGCATGAAGTGGCAATTAGGCACTGTGCTGTACAGTCCTACCAGGATAGTGGCAAGGTTGTTGCAGAAGCAGACCTCTAGGCTTCTGGGCTTCTTTATAGGGGTACATTGATAGAGATTTTTTGCTCCAGTACCGATGGCCGATTCTTAATGAGCCATATCAGCCAATACCAATCCGATTGCCAATACGTGGCCTGGCAGGTCGAGAGCAGCATCTGGCTGGTAAGCCTGTTACTGGGGAAGGGGCAAGGGGGGAGGGAAGGAGCATGGGGGAGAGGCAGATTAAGGCCCCCGTGGTGAAGGAGGGAATGGGGATAGGGCAGGCACAGCCCAGATGGGGTGGGGCCCAAGATGCAGCCACAGCTCGTCCAGGGGGTTTGGGGAAGGGGGCAGCTCCTGCAACTATGTGCATCCTGGGAGGGCATGTGCCCTGGGATTTGTGCACAGGGTGAGGCCGGGTTGACGCTGCAGGCTGTGGGTGGCCATGCTCCTCTTGG